ATGTCCCTTGGTTTTAGCATCAAAGAAGAGCCCATGATCTGTTGAAATAATGAGATATGCAATTTGGGATTATTCCTGTGCAGCAGCAAAGCTTAGCTGCTAATCGTGTGCATGCATCAAGCGATGCCTCAGAACCCCTGGAGTCTCAGTAGATTTTTTCACCCAGAGATCTTAGATCCACTGGATCTCTCATAGAGCGACCTGCTGGTGGAGTAGTGTCGTGGGTTAGGCCGCTCCAGCAACCGAACCCACACAGCCAGTCACTCACCCTCCCCCAGCCTCAGGGATGAGGGAGAGAATTAAAGGAGAAACGGGAAACCCGTGGGTTGAGATAAGAACAATTTAATACAGATGATTTAATACACAGTGTAGGTGCTCACCACCCCCTCTTATCCGCAGCCCGTCTTGTCCCGAAGCTGCAATCCCAGACGAACGCGAGGCCCCGAAATAGAGAGGGGCAGAGAGAGAGAGAGAGTACTCTGAGAGTGGGAGTACTGGGAGAGAGAGAAAAAAAAGGCAATAGAGCGAAAGTGCAGCAAGCGTGAAAGAGCCAAAGCGTCGAAAAAGCCAAAGCGCAAAAGCCCTTCTGTCCGGCTGACCCTCGCTTTTATACTGGGCATGACGCTGCATGATATGGAATACTAATTGGCCAGTTTGGCCCTCAATCTTAAGTTCCACCACAAATCACAAGGGGAATCGTGTCCCCCTTGTCCTGGCTATGCTCTCCCCTTATCCCACCGTGCTTCTGCACTCCGGCACACTGAAAAGTCCTTGGAGTCTCACGTCCAACCACAAACATCAACTTGCTATCAGCATTCTTCTCAGAGCGAGCCTCTGAGTAAAACCAAAACACGGAGCTCTTCTAGCTGCTAAAAAGAAGAGCTAACTCTGTCCCAGCTAAAACCAGGACAAGTAGCCTGGCTTAGGAGCTCTCCTGCCCTTTGTCCCAACAGTCATGTGGGGATTTTGGTGGGATTTGGAGAAGAAACTCCTGTTCACTGGGATACGGAGCCCACAAAGGTGTGGACATTTGGTCAGACCTGTTTTGACTCTTTTCTTCCCTTCCCCATCTCTCTTAGATCTGGATGGGATGGCAAGTAGTCAAAATCCAGAGCACCTGTAGGTCACTGGCCTAATATCTGCTGGCAGGATGAGTATTTTGGAGTCTCCTGGTCGACCAGTTCCAAAATGCAGCTAAGAGTTTGTGTGCTTTAACAACGAAACATCAGTGAGTTTAGCCCGGGGAGCTGGCAGGCTCTACAACTTGGTCGTGACTCAACCGATTCTTGCTCTGTTAACTTCCTCTAATGACTTGTGGAATTAGCAGCAGCGTTCACTGCTACACCCCCAGGTACGGCTTCACTTGCAGCCTCCTGGGGATGACCCTGTCACTGCTCTGTGCAATTCGAGGCTCTCTGGCGTTGAATGAGCTCCCACCTGTTGACCCTCTTCCTGCCCCCTCAATGGCTTTTCCCTTCACTGATGAATATCATCAGGATACAAAGTGGGTCTTTCTGCAGACACCCTTCATCTTCCATTTGCAACAGCAACATGTGCCGTAGACGCACGGATGCTGGCTGGGTTTTCAGGACTGCTTCCACCACTTTGTGCTTTGCAACTCTGAAAATCAGTCCAGGTTTGCCATGCTCCCCAGCCATCTCCATGGGATACAGTCCGATGAGAGGGCCTGACTCTGCAGCTCATCTTCAGGTGAAAAACAGCTGTGAAGCACCAGTCTAAAGGCCTATTGATCCCTGGATTTCTGAAATCAACCAGGTTTGTTGCTGGGCGTGAGATTGTTGTCTCTCTCCTGCTGTCCCCACTCCATGTGGCCTCAGGAGATTCAGGCACTTGACTCCTATTGACTTTTCAGCTATGGAACGCTTTGAAGATCCCATCTGATTGCTTCTGCCTCGATCAGGGCAGCCCTCACGTGTGTGGCTGTGGGCACTCTGCTCAGGTGCAGAAGGATTATTTAGTGTGTGCAGCGTGTCTGGGCTCTGGGCAACCACACGGGTACTTTGCCAGCTCCTGATCCTCTTTACTCTAAATGCCGTGCACCCCTGATGCTGCTGAAGCATTTCTGGAGCAATATCCCAGAAAATCTTGTAAATGTTCAGAAGAAGCAAGAGCTGGCTGATCCATACAGAACGGGGAGCCAGGTATGACAGCAAGGCAAACAGAGGCAGATGCCACTCCGACAGCAGGAGCTGTACCACAGGAGCTGAGCAAAGTGAGCAAAGCAGACCCAGCATCCACGGCCAAGTTCAGCCGAGGTTCCCAGAAAAGGCCACAGTGATGAGGCATGACTGATGTCAAGCTGGGACATCATGTCCATGGGTCAGTCGGGGTGTGGATCAGCCAGGGCACGTGACCTGGCACAGGCATGGGACCAAGGGTGAGAGACTCAGCTTAACTGCAGCTCTCCAGAGCTGGGCTGGAACCTGCACTGAGGCTTCTTCCAGCTTTTTTTTCTAGCAGCTTCAAGGCCAGTGAACACTTCTTGAACAGCTCTGTGTTATCAGAGGGCTAAACTTGAGCGCAAGCAGCTGAACGCCTGGTATGGCAGGGGCATATGCTCAGGACCCTAAACCAAATTCATGAGGCAAAATGTCCCCTGCCAAGATCTGTCCCTGTGCCTTTGGCCTCAAGGATCCCTGATCGCGCTGCTGGGACCAAAGGGTGGAAGTACCCAGAGGGAGAGATCTGGCCAAGTTAAAGTTTTGCCACTTGGGTTTCTCAAGTCTGGAACTCAAGTAATTTTTGTCTTAAGATATTAAACCTTTTCAGGGATAGACCCAAAGACAGATGAAATTTGAAACCCAACACCATGGGTGCTGCATCTCACCTAAGCCTTTTCCTGAAGTCAGAAAACTTGTGTCTTGGCAAAGAGAGCTGATGACAGAGAGGTGATACCATCGTATTTGGTAATGCCAAGGACTGACTCATGTTAGTGTTCATTGACTGCTCCTTGTGTAATATGGAGGGACTGGAGAGGGGCTGGAAGAGTTCCTATGTGGTTTTGGCATTTGCTCAGTAGGTGGAAATGGCTGGAGAGAAACTGAGGACTTTCCAAAGAACAGACCAGAACTTGTGATGTTCTCTGCTAACAGTTGCCTTCCCGATAAAAGGAATTTTATAACGCAAAATTTATATTTTGGGTTACTAGGGTTAAAATGCAGATTGCTTATACAGTTGTTAGAATTGTTTATCTGATGTTCCTCAGAAACATTCTCGTGGGAAAATCCACTCTATAAATAGGAATGAACCATAGTAATTGTTTTAAACTTCACATTTTTGCTTCTCTCTTAAGGCCTGAAATCTTGGAATCGTCCGTGAACCCAGTCACTCCTGTGACTGCCTTTCCCTTTGTTGTCCTGGATGTGCAAGATCTGCTTTTGGCCTAAAACATTGGGAATATGTTAATTTCATTTACAAGGGGGATCTTGATTGGTGCACCTAGTCCTAAAGCTTCCTAACACACCATGTGAGCTCAGTGTCTTCTTGCAGACTCAGATCATGTACAAATGGATTGAACCCAAGATCTGCAGAGAGGATCTCCCTGATGCATTGACCCTACCTCCTTCTGGAGAGAGGAAAGATTGCCCACCCTGCAATCCTGGCTTTTACAACAGTGCCTCGTCTTCCTGCACTCCTTGCCCACCAGGCACATTTTCAGATGGGACACAGGGTAAGAGTCCACACAAAAGTTGCTTGTGTCCAAAAACAGTTGTCTGCTTGCATGTGACTGTATCTAATGATGCATCATCATAAGCCAGAGTTCATTTTGCATAAAATGCTTGTTTAATAATGTTGGATATCTGTTTTCTCTCTGAAGTCCTTTATTATCAGGGACTGCTGCTCTAAGTTGACCTGCTGTGTTCTGGATGCATTTCTTGGCTGACATAAACATCCTGAGGGTTATTTTAAGGGATCCTGAGAAGGGAATTAGAACTTTTACAGTCAGTAATTCCTTCTCATCTATTCTTCTGTTCATGCCAAGTTCTTCCCTGTGAAAATGTCATTTTAAGCAGAATCAAATGAGTACCCTGCCAACATTGTCTAAACTCTGGCTTGATGACTCTGAGATGTATTGGCCCAATGATCACCTGCAGTATTTTGTGGGAACTCATGTTTACCAATATGATCAAACCTTCAGCTGATGCTATTAAAAAGGAAGTGTGACTTGGAGGATCAGTTGCAGATTACTTACCACGAGGTTATGATCTCCAATTTGTAGAACAATGGTCTTGTTTCCTCGCTTCTGGTCCTGATAAATCTTTGACTGTTTAATTATAAAGAAATAAATAATTTTCTTTGCTCATTGCTTGCCCCAGAGAGTAAAACAGTGATGTCTACATTCTTTAAAACACTGTTTGAGATGCACTTTGGCTGTGTGATTTCCTTTCTCGCTCCGTAGAGTGCAAAGCCTGCCCTGCTGGGACTGAACCAACTCTTGGGTTTGAGTACAAGTGGTGGAACATCCTGCCAGGCAACATGAAGACGTCTTGCTTTAATGTCGGCAACTCGAAGTGTGATGGGATGAACGGTGAGCCAAACTCCCTGTGTTGTTACCCACCTGTCTTTCTCCTGTACTGATCACTGTTGTAATGGAGCACCCATCAAAATGAATATGCTCTTTGCTACGTGAGTCACAACACAGTTTCCCCCTTTTGTTTAATTGCACCCAGCTTGAAATTTCCTGCAGGTAGCAATGTCATAATATCACAAAGAAGAAATAAAAAAATCTCTTGTATAACAGAAGAGGGCAAGAGCAGCAGCTTATGTGAAGTCCCCTCAGCCAAGGCCTGTCCCACCATAGACTTTGATGCATCTGAATATCACCACTGAAAAAAACCCAACTATTTGACTTCTCTCTAGTTTATCTGCTTTCATGTTTTGTGATAACCATGCCCTTTGAGGTCACACATAATTCTTTTGAACCATTTAATTAAATTGTGTGATCTTTGTTCATTTAGCACTGAGTTCTCTCTCTGCACATGTGCTAGGATTGCAGCAGAGAGCAGTCACAGCTCGCCAATGAAAGTGATTCTGTTCAGGACTTCTCCCACCTCTGGCTTTCTCTGAGAGGTTTTCCCCAGTCTGATCCACCCTGTCAGGATGATGTAACTCAAGCTCTGAATTATGCATGTTGGGCAGAGGGGCATTGAAGTGTATACTTAACGTTTAATATACAGATTCATTGATTCATCTGGTTTAATGCTGGAAGAGATCAGGTGGATCATTCCTCTTGAGCTGCACAGCACAGGTCAGGGAATTTCAAGTGCTTTGCTGATTTTAAGGTGATGTTTGCCTATAAAATCAGCAGTTCTCACAATTACTAAAATTTTTCATTCGAAAGCATTATTATACTGCTCTGTAGTTTGTAACAGACATCTTTAAAATGTACTAAAGTACTGAATTTCTTAAAAAAGTGTGGTAACAGAATTTTATTTTGCTATATGACCCAGAAACCATCCATTTATTGATTTTTTTTTTTCCTTTTTTTGGTCCTGTGAAGGTTGGGAGGTGGCTGGTGATCACATTCAGAGTGGGGCAGGAGGCTCTGACAATGACTATCTTATCTTGAACCTGCACATCCCGGGATTTAGGTAAGGAACAGGATTTTTTTTTATCTATTTCTCATTTATTTCTGCCTCTTACACCTATTTCACATTATCCCTGGAATAAACAGAGTTTTCTTTTCTGAAGTGCAATGATGTCATGAATGAGAGACAAGGGGAAACTTGAATTTTATTCCTGTCCCCCCAGTCGGCTCATTGGAGCAAATGATTCTGTAAGACCTTGGTTTTCAGCAGTGTTTGCTTCAGCCTGAGGTGCCAGCTGATCAGGTGTCTAGAAACTGAGAAAAAATATTCCTATCCATCTATTTCTAAATTATCCCAAAGTAATCAGCTAAATCTGCCATGGGTTGTACACTGATGCCTGCCCTGAAGTTTTTTACAGAAACCCACGTTACTTTGCATTGTGGCTTCGGCCAGCGGAGAGATGCGGGCACCGCAGGGGAGCAGGACATCCCACCTCCTGGACCCCAGACAGGATGAATTAGGTGCTTGAGGTTCTTGTGCCTCATCTTTGTTAAAAGAGTGAGCTTAGACTCCTAGCTCAGACCAGGTGCCAACTGTAAGTCAGGAAAAATGAATGTATGGCAAAATGAACCTCACCCTCCCTTTGCCATATCTCAGCTGAGGGTGTTTGTGACTTCTTACACCCGTGATGAACAAACTGTGATTTTTATTTTACAATATGGGTGAACAGCAGTGAAAATAAGAGAGAAGCAAGAAACATGTCCATAGAAAAGTTCAGCATGTCGCTGTTTACTGTTTAGTACTTTGCAGGGGAGCACCCTGAATACCTCTGGTCTCCATGAAACTCCTGAAAGCATCTCCCACCAGCAGAGGGCAGATGCAATTAAATCAGTGTAAATTACTTAAAGCACGTAATGCATTTAAGCGATAAGATTCCCTACCAATATGGTCAAATTTGGGTGTTGATTGTAAGGAGGGAACTGTACCATAAAGAGGTCAGATGGTTAAAAAATAACCGTGCTGTGCCCAGTGGCCAGTGCAGAGCCGCTGTGCAAACCTGGCCTCCGTGGCTCTGCCAGGGCAGGTTTTATGGGACAGGGCTTTGATGGTTTCCCCGCCATACGAAAAGTAATTTGAAGGATTGGCTGGTGCCTGTCTGAAATGTTTAATTCCTTCTCTGCTAAACAGACCTCCGACATCGGTGACAGGAGCAACTGGGTCAGAACTAGGACGGATTACTTTTGTTTTTGAGACCACCTGTTCAGCAGATTGTGTGCTGTACTTTATGGCGGTAAGTGAGACCTCTCTCTCCGTGACTGAGGACTAAGCCTGGTGTTCCACATGTCACTTTAATACCTCTACATAGGCATGATTAGTTGCACTTGGTTTATTATGACTAAGATTAAGTATGACATGAGTTTAATTTCTGTGGCACTCGTGCAGGAAGGGTTTAATGAATGAATGGTTCAAGAAGGCCAAGTGCAAAGGTCCTGCACATGGGTCGGGGCAATCCCAAACTCAAGTACAGGCTGAGTGGAGAATGGATTGAGAGGAGCCCTGAGGAAAAGGACTTGGGAGTGCTGGTGGATGAGAAGCTCAACATGAGCCGGCAATGTGCGCTGGCAGCCCAGAAAGCCAACCATATCCTGAGCTGCATCCAAAGAAGCGTGGCCAGCAGGTCGAGGGAAGTGATTCTGCCCCTCTACTCTGCTCTCAGGAGACCTTACGTGGAATATTGCATTCAGCTCTGGAGTCCTCAACACAAGAAGGACATGGAGCTGTTGGAGTGGGTTCAGAGGAGGGCTACAAAGATGATCAAAGGGCTGGAGCACCTCTGCTATGAAGACAGGCTGAGAGAGTTGGGGCTGCTCAGTCTGGAGAAGAGAAGGCTCTGGGGTGATCTTATTGCAGCCTTTCAGTACTTAAAGGAGGCCTACAAGAAAGCTGGAGAGGGACTTTTTACCAGGGCATGTAATGATAGGACAAGGGGCAATGGCTTTAAACTGAAAGAGGATAGATTTAGATTAGATCTAAGGAAGAAATTTTTTACAATGAGAGTGGTGGAACACTGAACCAGGTTGCCGAGAGAAGTTGTGACTGCCCCATCGCTGGAAGTGTTCAAGGCCAGGTTGGATGAGGCTTTGAGTAAGCTGATCCAGTGGAAGATGTCCCTGCCCATTGGCAGTGGAGTTGGAACTAGATGATCTTGAAGGTCCTTTCCAACCCAAACCATTCTATGATTCTGTGGTTGTATGACTCTGTGACTACAAAATTCCTTCACAAGATGAGCTATGAACCATTCCTGGTTATCTGTCTATTTTAAAAGAAATCATTAGACACCAAAGAGCCAAATTTGCTCCTGTTAAACTGACTGACAAATTCTCAATGTCTCTTGTGCAGTCGAGTTAACCTCCAGAAGTTTAACAGAGTCACAAGTCAAGATGTGGGACAGAGGGATGGGAAATGGAAAATTTGGAAATTTAGTCTTGATCCTGTCAGTGGCCTGGGGAATCAGTAGGGCAGCAGACAGACTTTGGTTTCTGAAAGCAAAGTGCCATGTTTTTTACTTTCCTCATCTGCTTATTGAAAGTCCATCAGCTGAGGAAGGTAATGGTATCTGTGACAGCATCCTTGCCTCTTCCATTGCAAAGGGAAGCTGGTCTTCTTTTTTTTTTTTTTTTAATTTAGTGGTAATTTACAGAATTCTGCTCTTAATTTAAGGAGAATTAAGTGGAAATTAGGTGGTAATTTAAAGGAATCTCTTTTAAAGGAAAAGCATCTCTCACTGGAACATTTACGACTGGTGGAGAATATGAAACAAACATCGATCAAACAGGTTTTTCTCGTGTAAAATTTGGTGCTGCCTTTTGGCCTCGGTTCTGTGTCACTAGAGACACCGACAAAGTGGGTATCCAAAGATGGCAGAAACTACAATTTTTCTTTGAATTTTGGCCTTCCCTTTTTGTGCTATGGTACTCACATGTTTGATACATAAACATGTGTTGATACATAAACATGTGTTGATACATAAACGGATGTCCCTGCCTATGGCAGGGGTGTTGGAACTAAATGATCCTTAAGGTCCCTTCCAACCCAAACCATTCTATGATTCTATGATAATTTCAAATGTGAAATAACCATTGTGCTGAATCTGTCCTCATATCGTTTATAATCTGCTATAGGACTTTGAACTTAACTGTTGTGTGAATGAGAGCAACTTTTGGAACAGACACCCATTCTTGCTTAAAAAATTGCCAGTGGTGGAAAACAGAATAAATATGTTTGCTGTCCTTTATTAAGCATTAAATGCAATTGTAAAGTCCTTTATATATTAATATCTAAATTATAAAACACTAGTGTTTAGTGTGGCGTGACCACACTTTATGTGGTTTTTTAAAAAAATTATGTCCATTTTATAGGATGTTAATCGAAAAAATACCAATGTGGTGGAATCATGGGAAAGAAGTAAAGAGAAACAATCCTACACGCACGTCATCTCCAAAAATGCTTCCTTCACGTTCACCTGGGCCTTTCAGAGAATAAATGAGGGTCAAGATGTAAGTACTTCTTTATGTACAACAGCTTTCCTTGGACAGTCACCACCAGAGCACTTACCCTCCACTGAAGCTCACAAGCATCTTGTAAAGGGCTGTCACCATTGTTGTGGTTTAGCCTGGTCGGCAGCTAAACACCACGCAGCCGCCCGCTCAC